CCCTCTCGTGCTCTCTATCTCTCATTCTCTCTCTCTCAAATAAATAAATAAAATCTTTAAAAAAAAAAAAAGACCATTCTTGCATATCTTTAGCTGAAAATAAGTATGTATTTCTGTTGGGTGTGTATAACCAGGGGGAGAATTAGGGGTCATAGGGTCTCCATGTGAAAATCTTTCATAGACAGTGCCAAACTGTTTCCCAAAGTGATTGTACCAATTTATATTCCTACCAGAATAAATGTGAGCATTGGGTTGCTGCACAAGCTTATAATACTTACCTTTTTTATTTTAGTTATCCTGCTGGATGTGTAGGGTTTTTAATTTTTAACTTTATTTCAACAGTAATTTCAGACTTACAGAAAACTTGCAAGAATAGTACAAAGAGGGGAGCCTGGGTGGCTCAAATGGCTAAGCGTCTGCCTTTGGCTCAGGTCATGATCTCAAGGGTCCTGGGATCGAGCCCCATGTCAGGCTCACTATTCAGTGGGGAGTCTGCTTCTCCCTCTGCCTTTCCCCTCCACTCATTCTCTCTCTCTCTCAAATAAATACATAAAATATTTTAAAAAAAAAATAGTACAAAGAATTCCTGTACATGTGTCACCCAGATTTCCTGAATGTTAACATTTTCTACATTGCTTAAAGTCCTTTTTCCCAAAAAGTCCATATTCATTTTTTCTGCCCTTTGTGCATATCTCTTTTAAAAAAGATAAGAATTAATTTTAATATAGTCATGGGGCACCTGGGTGACTCAGTTGATTGAGCACCTGCCTTTGGCTGGGGTTCATGATCTCAGGGTCCAGGGATCAGGCCCTGCATTGGGCTCCTTGCTCTGCAGGGAGTCTGCTTCTCCCTCTCCCTCTGCCCCTCCCCACCACTCATGTTCTCGCTCTTTCCCTCTCTCTCAAATAAATAAAATCTTAAAAACAAACACTTTTTAAAAATTTTAATATAATCAATACAATTATCAATGATTTTCCCTTAAATCATCAAATATTGAGTATATAGATGCTCCCAGTTGCCTCAGATGGCTTTTTACAGTGGAGTTCGTTTGAGCTGGGATTCAAACAAGGTCCCTATATTGTATTTGGTTGACATAATACATCTTTTTTAATTTTTTGTCTCTCCAAACTGAATTGAATAGTTCCATCTTTTTAGTCTGACATGGCTGCTTCCCATTTTATACCAATTCAAACTAACCACATCTGTTTACTACTATTTTGTTAATGTTTTGACTAGTTTTCTGGTTGTTATCAGTAGGAAGATTGATTTGAATTACCTAGTCTTTCATTGTTAGCCTTTATCGGTTTATTTTTGTTTCGGGGGAGGGACAGAGGGAGAGGGAGAGAGAATCTTAAGCAGGCTCCACACACAGCGTGGAGCCCAACACAGGCTCCATCTCACAACCCTGAGATCATGACCTGAGCCGAAATCAAGAGTCGGATGTTTGACTGAGCCACCCTTGAGCCCCGTCCTTTATCACTTTAAAATCATGTGTACATGTCATTGAAATGATGTAACAAGAAATGTAATAAGTGTATATTAGTAATGTACATGTAATTAGTAATGCTCAAAGATAATATTGAAACTCATTATTACCAAGAACTTGAGTCCAACAGAGTCCTTCCATAAATTCACTAATCTCATTTGATTTCATTCTTTTTTCTGTTCATTTTTGGTCAAAGTCCTGAAGTAAAGTAATAGGCTAGTAGAAAGGAGAAGGCAAGGAAAATTAGATTAAATAGGAATGGATACTATAGTTATTTGTAACTTTAATATTTTTTTACAGTAATTATGAAAGAAAACATTGGCTGTAGAATATAAGTGCTAATTAAATGCCGGATTTTTTTCCCCTTTTTCAGAAAATAGAAGCACGAGTGTCTGCTGATGAGGACCTCAAACTTTCCGACCTTTTAAAATATTACTTAAGGGAATCTCAAGCTGCTAAGGTAATTTGATTGTTCATTGTTTTTTATTTATTTTATTTATTTATTTTTTTAAGATTTTATTTATTTGACAGAGAGAGAGACAGCAAGAGAGGGAACACAAGCAGGGGGACTGGGAGAGGGAGAGGCAGGCCTCCCACCTAGCAGGGAGCCCGATGCGGGGCTCGATCCCAGAGCCCTGGGATCATGACCTGAGCCGAAGGCAGACGCCCAACGACTGAGCCACCCAGGCGCCCCTGTTCATTGTTTTTTAAAATGGACTATTTTACAAAAAGCCATCTCTTTAGAGGTTGTTAGGCTTAAGATTGTTAATGATTATCTCTTGATTTTAAATTAGATTTTCAAGTGTGAATTTTTGTTCTCCTTTTACAGATTGTTGGTTGGGGAACCCCACATAAAAGTTTCCTCTATAAACTTTTTTTTTTTTTTTTAAGATTCTATTTATTTGACAGAGATAGAGACAGTGAGAGAGGGAACACAAGCAGAGGGAGTAGGAGAGGGCCTGAGCAGGGAGCCCGATGCAGGGCTTGATCCCAGGACCCTGGGAGCATGAACTGAGCGGAAGGCAGACGCTTAACAACGGAGCCACCCAGGCGCCCCTCCACTATAAACTTCTGATTAGTATAATCTAGAACTTTTTTTTTTTTAATGAATTTGGTATATTCATTCAGGTAAAATGCCTACAAAACAAGAAGTAAAACCCCCAAATAACAGTCGGTGTAGCTAAAGGATTCCTAAGTCCTCTATTGTGGGTGAGAGAACTGTAAAACCAGGATATGTTTTATTTTAAGGTAACTCAAATTTCCTTTTGGAAGTTTGTCTACCAGCAAGACTAAAACTCTTACTAATCCAAAAAATGTTTAACAGAAACATCTGAAAAGGCACTAAAAACTTAATGGCTCAGATATTCTAAATTCAGGGCACCTGGGTGGCTCAGTCGGTTAAGCCTTCATTTGGCTGAGGTCATGATCCCGGGGTCCTGGGATCGAGCCCCACATCTGGCTCCCTGCTCAGTGGGGAGCGTGCTTTTCCCTCTCCCTCTCCCTCTGCCACTTCCCCTGCTTGTACTGTCTTGCTCTCTGACAAATAAATAAATAAAATCTTTAAGGAAAAAAAAGGTATTATAAATTCAATGTTAATTTATGAATTGATACATTGTACAGAAAATTCCACATTTCACAGAAAATGTGATCAGTGGTGCTTTGAACACCAATTTTTCATTCCTTATCAAATCATAAATAACCCTTGGGGCACTTGGCTGGCTTAGTTGGTAGAGCATGCAACTCTTGATCTTGGGGTCATGAGTTCAGGCCCCATTTGGGCATAGAGCTTACTTAAAAAAATTATAGGGGTGCCTGGCTGGCTCAGTTGGAAGAGCATGATTCTTGATCTCGGGGTTGAGAGTTCAATCCCTTTGTTGAGTGAAGAGATAAATAAACTTAAAAGAAATTATAAATAACCTTTTTAACTTTGAGGACTTAGGTACTTGTAAATATACTGTCCATATCAAATTATTTTATCAGATTGTGTCCTATAAACCGTTTACATTGGGTGGGCAGGGTTAAAATGAATTACTCACTTTAAAGACCTTAAATTCGGGCGCCTGGGTGGCTCAGTCGTTAAGTGTCTGCCTTCGGCTTGGGTCATGATCCCAGGGTCCTGGGATCAAGCCCCGCGTCGGGCTCCCTGCTCCACAGGAGGCCTGCTTCTCCCTCTCCCACTCCCCCTGCTTGTGTTCCCTCTCTTGCTGTGTCTCTCTCTGTCAAAAAAATAAATTAAAAAAAAATAATAAAGACCTTAAATTCATTATTTTAATATTACAGTTGTTTAATACATAACTTTTTAGAACGTGGCTTTAAAAGTAAATCCAAATTTTTTAGTGACCACAAGAAGGAATTGAAATTTAATTGCAAAAATTAAAACTATATGCAGCAGAGGGAATATAGGAATCAGTAGTAGTGGAATAGCGCTGTATGGTGTCAGACGGTAGCTACACTTGTGCTGAGCACAGCATAACAGAGCTGTCAGATCACTGTTGTACACCTGAAACTAATGTAATATTGGGTGCCAACTATACTTGAATATAGGTGAGTAATTAAATAAGTAAATAGCTGTTTAAAAAATATTCAATATTTATTAAACAGCAGGAGGAAAAAACTCATGAGATATCACCACACACCTTTTTTTTCTTTTTTTAAGATGTATTTATTTATTTTAGAGAAAGCATGTGTTTGCACATGTGGGGGGGGCAGTGGGAGAGAGAATCCTCAGGCAGACTCCCCACTGAGCATGAAGCCCATCACGGGGGCTCGATCCCAGGACCCTGAGATCATGACCTGAACCAAAATTGAGAGTCAGCCACTTAACTAACTGAGCCACCCAGGCGCCCCTCACCACAGGCGCCCCTTAACGAGAATTTGGCTGAAATGAAAAATTCTGACAAAAATTATAGCAACTAGAACTTTCACACCCTGTTAGTTGGAATATGATACAATATTTTGGAAAAGTTTTACAATTTCTTAAAAAATTAAACACACATCTATCCTATGGTCCATTCATTCTAGTCCTGGGTATTTGAGAGCACGTGTCCCCACGGATATTCACAGCAGCTTTATTTGTAATAGCCGAAAACTGGCAACAACCCAAATGTCCCCCAGCAGCTGAATGGATAAATTGTGGTGTATATATACAGTGGAATCCTACTCAGTGGTAAAAAGGAGTGAACCATGGATACATGCAACAATATGGAAGAATCTCAAAATAATTTTGCTGAGTGAAAGAAGCCAAACAATAAAGACCATAGTCTACACAAGAGCTCACTCTTAGTGATACACATTGTTTTTTGTTTGAAGAAATGTGTAATGATATGTATCTATCATTATAAGTATCATACAGAATAGTTTTCACTGCCCCAAAACTCCTCTCTGCTCCACTATTCATCCTCTTTCCTCTTAAGCCCTGTTGATTTTGTGTGTGTGTGTGTGTGTGTGTGTGTGTGTGTGTGTGTGTGACATCTCCATAGATTTGCCTTTTCCAGAATGTCGTATAGTTGGGCCTTTTCACATTGGCTGCTTTTTTTTTTTTAATATTTTATTTATTTATTTGAGAGAGTATATGTGAACACAAACTGGGGGAGAGGCAGACTGAGAGGGAGAAGCAGACTCTTTGCTGAACAGGGAGACCTGTGTGAGGCTCGATCCCAGGACCCTAGGATCATGACCTGAGCCAAAGGCAAACCGACTGAGCCATCCAGGCGCCCCAGTCAATTGATTCTTTTTTCTTTTTTTTTTTAAGATTTTTTATTTATTTACTTGACACAGAGAGAGAGAAAGCTAGAGAGGGAATGCAAGCAGGGGGAGCGGGAGAGGGAGAAGCAGGCTCCTCGCTAAGCAGGAAGCCTGATGCGGGGCTCGATCCCAGGACCCTAGGATCATGACCTGAGCCGGACGGAGGTAGACGCTTAACGACTGAGCCACCCAGACGCCCCCAGTCAATTGATTCTTAACAAAGGTGCTAAGACAGTTTTGGGGGGAAAAGAATAGACTTTTCAACAAATGGTACTGTGTCATCTGAATAGTCCATGAAAATAAAAGACCCCTTCCTCATACTGTGTATAAAAATTTGCTCAAAATTGATCAAAGACCTAAATGTAACAACTATAACATTTTTAGAAAAAAACAAATGTAAATCTTTGTGACCTCTGATTGGACATTGATTTCTCAGATATGACACCAGGAGTACAGCAACCAAAGAAAAAAAATATAAATTGGACGGACTTTATTAAAATTAAAAACTTGTGTGTGTCAGAGTACACTATGAAGAAAAGTGGAAAGACAACCCATAGACTGGGACAAAATATTCGCAAATCATACGAGTCCCTAATAAGGAAATGGTATCCAGAAAATATAAAGAACTCTTAAAACTTGGGGCGCCTGGGTGGCTCAGTTGGTTAAGCGACTGCCTTCGGCTCAGGTCATGATCCTGGAGTCCCGGGATTGAGTCCCACATCGGGCTCTCTGCTCAGCAGAGAGTCTGCTTCTCCCTCTGATCCTCCTCCCTCTCATGCTCTCTCTCATTCTCTCTCTCTCAAATAAATAAAAAATCTTTAAAAAAAAAAAAAGAACTCTTAAAACTCAGTAAAAAGACAAATAGCCCAATTAAAAAATGGGCAAAGGACTTGAATAAACCTTTCTCCAAAGAAAATATACAAATTGCCAATGAATATGTAAAAAGATGTGCAGCGACATTAGCTATCAGGGAAATGCAAATCAGAACCACAGCGAGAGATGCCTGGCTGGCTCAGTAGGTAGAGCGTGCGACTCTTGATCTTGGGGTTGTGAGTTCCAGCCCCACGTTGGGTATAGAGATTACTTAAAAAATAAAATCTTTAAAAACGAAACAAAACCACAGTGAGATACCACTTCAAAGCCACTAGGTGGCTTTAATCAAAAAGACAGGTAAGTGTTGCCAAGGATGGGGAGAAATTACAGCTCTCATACAGAGTCATTGGAAATGTAAAGTGGGGCAGCCACTTTAGAAAACAGTCTGGCAGTTTCTCAAAAGGTTCAGCATAGAATTACCAAGTGACCGAGCAATTCCACTCCTAAGTAATGAGATATGAAAGAGAAAGGAAAACATGTTCACACAAAAACTTACACACAAATGTTCATAATAGCATTATTCATAATAGGCAAAATGTGGAAACAAACCAAATGTCTATCAGCTGATAAGTGGATAAATCAGTGTGGTATTTCCATACAATGAAATATTTAGAAATAAAAGGAATGAAGTACTGGTTCACACAATAACATGAATGAACTTGAAATTTTATGCTAAGTAGAGAAAGCCAGACAGAAAAGACCACATATTACATGATTCCATTTTTTTTTTAAGATTTTATTTATTCATTTATTTGAAAGAGAGAGAGAGAGAGAGCACATGAGAGGGGGAAGGGTCAGAGGGAAAAGCAGACTCCCTGCTGAGCAGGGAGCCCGATGCAGGATTCGATCCCGGGACTCTCCAGGATCATGACCTGAGCTGAAGGCAGTTGCTTAACCAACTGAGCTACCCAGGTGCCCCTCCACTTTTTTTTTTTTTTTTTTAAATGAAATGTCCAGAACAGCAAATCTGTTCAGACAGAAAGCAGATGGGGGGGGGGCGGTGAGAGGACATGAAGAATGACTGCTGATGAATATGGGGTTTCCTTTTGGATGACAGAATTGTTTTAAAATTGATTGTAGTGATGGTTATACAGTTCTGCGAGCACACTAAAAACTGTTAATTGTGCACTTTGAATAAGTTACACGTATGTGAATTTATCTCAGTAAAGCTGTTACAAAAACCATTTAGAAGAGTAGCTGGCATGTGTGGTATTCATGGTTTAAGTGTTCACTCTGATGATGATGGGGGTGATGGGGTAGTGGTGGTTGCGGGTAACTATTAGAAACATGCAGTGTATGTTATTGTGAAGCATTCTCTTTTATAGGATCTCCTCTATCGAAGATCTAGGTCACTAGTGGATTATGAAAATGCTAATAAAGCACTGGATAAAGCAAGAGCGAAAAATAAAGATGTTCTGCAGGCTGAAACATCCCAACAATTATGTTGTCAGAAATTTGAAAAAATATCTGAATCTGCAAAACAAGGTACTGTCACCTTACCCTTTAATCATAAGGTATACTTTAAACTATTATATTATGTAAATTAAATAGTTAATCCTAATTTCTTTTGTTCACAGAACTTATAGATTTTAAGACAAGAAGAGTTGCTGCATTCAGGAAAAATTTAGTGGAACTGGCAGAGTTAGAACTGAAGCATGCAAAGGTATTGTCATATTAAAGGTTTAATAATTTAAGTGACTTATAATTTAGAAATGAGTCTGTTATGGGGTACTTGGCCACCTCAATTGGGAGAGTACGTGACTCTTGATCTCAGGTTCATGAGATTGAGCCCCATGTTAGGCATAGAGATTACTTTAAAAAAAAGGAAAGAAAGAAAGGAGTCCGTTATGAAATTGATAATTACTCTTTAATGACAGTTTCCTTCTACAGGCATACTGTAAGAAGTATTCCTGAATTAGAATTAATTACAGTTGGAATTATAGTTTTTGAAGGTTATTTTACTGCTTCAAAATAACTTGGTTTTGGGAAATAAACATCCTTCTTCCACGGTTTTTTGTAGTGTTTATTTACTTCAAATCAAGCCCTTTCTTGTAGTTAATAGAAAGCTTCGGGGATGCCTGGATGGCTCAGTTGGTTGAGCATCCAGCTCTTTGTTTTGGCTCAGGTGGTGGGTGATCTTGGAGTTGTGGGATTGACCCCTGCATTGGGCTCCTGGCTTATCGTGGAGTCCACTTGAGATTCTCTCTCCCTCCCGCTCGTGTTCTCTCTCTGTCTCTCTCTGTGTCTCTCTCTCTAAAATAAATAAATAAATCTCTATTTTTTTTTAAAGGATAAAGGTTGGCCCAAACCTTACTATAATTTTAAAACTAGAGAATATTAGAATTGAGAGGGATTTTACAAATTACCTAATTAAAACAAGAATAATATCTACAGTTTCTCTAAATGGTCAGCTCTGCAAGACTCTAGTACCTAATATGGAAACCAGTATCATTTTTTAACTAGCTAAAAAAATAAATCTCTCATTAATAAAAAAAATTTAGGGGCACCTGGGTGGCGTGTCAGTTGGGCATCCGACTCTTGGTTTTGGCTCAGGTCATGATCTCAGGTTTGTGGGATCGAGCCCTGATTTGGGTTCCGTGCTCAGTGCGGAGTCTGCTTGAGATTCTCTCTTCCTCTCCCCTCTGCCCCTCTTCCCACTCTCTCGCTCTCTCTCTCAAATAAATAAATAAATCCTTAAAAAAAAACACTTAAAAATTTATTTAACATATGCTGTCTTCAGAGGGACTGAAAACTAAAAACATATTCAAAATTACCCAAACTATAAGTATTAAAGAAATTTAAATAAACTTTAAGTGTTTATTTTTTGATATATTGATAACATTTATACTTTAAAAGTTATTAAAAAGCTTAAAACTGCACTAAGAGTTTTGGGGCACCCCATAATGGACACAAATCTACTTCTGTGTAACTTTGACACATTGGTCAAAGTTTTATCATCTAAATTAAGAAAGATAAGTTTAATTTCTCTTACAGTTTACCCTCAAATATTTATATAGTTTATATTCTATATATATAGTCTCCTCCAGGCTAGATATCCTTGAGCTAAATATTTTTTATCTCATACATTTCAATAAGCTTTTTATATTATTGACCTCCTGTCATTGCTGTTTTAAAATATTACACCCGGAAATGGAAACACTTCTATACACAGGCTGATTATTGTGCACATTTCTTCTTACAGTGTGCTTTATATATTACAAGGGTTTAAGGGGCCATCTCATACCAGCTTGTTTTGGCCTATAGTCACACCTTCTCTTCTTCTTCAAAGTCTTCTCTTGAGCTCCAGCCTATAGTTGTGTGTTTCATTTTTTTAGTAATCTTTTTCATTTTTGTGGTATAAAATTTAACATCTTAACCATTTTTAAGTGTGCAGTTCAGCAGTGGTAAGTATATTCACATTGTTGTGCAACAAGTTTCTAGAACTTCTTCATTTATTGAGTATTTACGTTTTAAAATGTAATTGTAGACCATATTTGTGTCTATTGAATTTTAGCTTGCTAGTTTTAGCCAAGCATGAGATCCTTTGGAAACTTTAATTTGATCATATAGTACTTGACTATTAGAGTGGTTATTGCTCCAAAGTGATAGACATATGTAATTTGTATGAACTTCCCTTTTATGTCCTTATGTAAGTTTTAATTTAAAAGATTGATCAGGGGATGCCTGGGTGGCTCAGTGGATGAAATGTCAGACTCTTGATCTCAGCTCAGATCTTGATCTCAGGGCCATGAGTTCAAGCCTTGCATTGGGCTCCACACTGGGTGTGGAGCCTTCTTAAAAAAAGAAAGAGAGAGAGAGGGAAAGAAAAAGGAAGGAAGGAAGGAAAGAGAACGAGAGGAAGGAAGGAGGGAGGGAGAAAGAAAAAAAAGGGGAGAGAGAGAATGGGAGGGAGGGATCGATCAGGACCGAAGGAATCAACATTTGTTCATCTAATTGTAAAAGTACATAGAACCCAAAAAAGCTAAATTTTTAGTTCCCTTCCTTCCTTTCTATACTAACTGATAATAACTTATTAATTAATATTATTTGGTTGTAGTTATTTGGATAGTTATGAGTTCACCTACTTATACTGTCATCAACCATTTTTTCTCCACTTTATCCATGATGGATATAAGTATTGAATTCCTCACTAAAATCAAGATACATGTTATGATTTCCTGGTCTAATAACCCTCTCAAAAGAAAATGTTTTGATAAAGCTGGCATGATTTATTCTTACTGCACCTGTGTTGGTTTCTAATGTTCACTATTTTTGTTCTTTTTAAAGAGGTTATAAACTATCAAGGATTTTGTTAATAAATTAAGAAGAGGTTGGCAAATTACAACCTATTTTTGTATAGCCTCTGAGCCAGGAATAGCGTTCATATTTTTATTTATTTTTTTATTTTTTTAAAGATTTTATTTATTTGAGAGAGAGAGAATGAGAGATAGAGAGCACGATGGGGGGAGGGTCAGAGGGGGAAGCAGACTCCCTGCTGAGCAGGGAGCCCGATGCGGGACTCGATCCAGGGACTCCAGGATCATGACCTGAGCCGAAGGCAGTCGCCTAACCAACCGAGCCACCCAGGCACCCGCATTCGTATTTTTAAATGGTTATTTTTAAAAAGCAAAAGAGGGGGGCACCTGGCTGGTTCAGCTGTTGAGCATCTGCCTTCCGCTCAGGTCCTGATCCCAGGGTCCTGGGATCGAGCCCCGCATCAGGCTCCCTGCTTGGCGGGAAGCCTGCTTCTCCCTCTCCCACTCCCTCTGCTTGTGTTCCCTCTCTTGCTGTGTATCTCTGTCAAATAAATGAAAAAGAAAAGAAACGGCAAAAGAGGGACACCTAGGTGGCTCAGTTGGTTAAGAGTCTGCCTTCGGCTCACGTCATGATCCCAGGGTCCTGGGATCGAGTCCCACATCGGGCTCTTTACTAGGTAGGGAGCCTGCTTCTCCCTCTCCCTCTGCTTGCTGCTCCCCCTGCTTGTGCTCTCTCTGACAAATAAATAAAATCTTAAAAAAAAAAGGCAAAAGAATATCATGATGTGATAATTTCACAAAATTTATATTTAATCTATAAAGTTTTATTAGGATACACCCAAGCTCATTCATTTATGCTTTGTCTGTGATTGCTTTCATACTACTATAGCAAAGTTCAGTAGTTAAAACAGAGATCAAATGTCTCTCAAAATCTAAATTTTGGGGGGTGCCTGGGTGGCTCAGTTGGTTAAGCGACTGCCTTCAGCTCAGGTCATGATCCTGGAGTCCCGGGATCGAGTCCCGCATCAGGCTCCCTGCTCAGCAGGGAGTCTGTTTCTCCCTCTGACCCTCCCCCCTCTCATGTGCTCTCTCTCTCTCATTCTCTCTCTCAAGTAAATAAATAAAATCTTTAAAAAAAAATTTAGATTTTTTTTTAAAGATTTTATTTATTTGAGAGAGAGAATGAGCAGGGAAAGAGAGAAGCAGGCTCCCCACTGAGCAGGGAGCCTAACCCGGGGCTCAATCCCAGGACCCTGGGATCATGACCTGATCCGAAGGCAGATGCTTAACGACTGAGCCACTCAGGCGCCCCTCAAAGTCTAAAATGTTTACTACATATTTAGTCCTTTACAGAAAAAGTTTTCTGACCCCTACTACATAGATTGTTATCAGCCTCTGACTTCCAGATTTTCTACTTTTCAAATCCTTTCTGAAAAGTGTTCTCTGTGTTGAAATTTCTGATAGGTCTTCTAGTCCAGTGGCTCTCAACTAGAGGCAGTTTTGCCTCCTGGGAGACAGCAATTTCTGGAGACATTTCTTGGGTAGAAATGTCTCTACCCACTTAGGTAGTCAAAACTAAGGGTGGGTGGGTTACTACTGGTATGTAGTGCGTAGAGGTCCGGGATGCTGCTAAACTTTCTACAGTGCATAGGACAGCCCCCATAAGAAAGAATTACACAGCCCAAAATATGTCAGGGGTGCCGAGATTAAGGGGTGCCTGGCTGGCTCAGTTGGTGGAGTGTGCAACTCTTGATCTCAGGGTTTAGGTTTGAGCCCCACATTGGGTGTAGAGATTACTTAAATATAAAATCTTAAAGAAAAAAGTGCCAAGGTTGAGAAACCCTGCTCTCTTGTCTCAGGTTTCTTCTTGATGATTTTGTAAATCTGAACAAAGTCCCATGTTAGTGCCAGGAATCCATATGAAATATTCTAAAAAGATTAGACATTAGTTAAACTTAGAGCCAGATGATTTGAAACTACTTTGGATTTCATTTATTGTAACTAGGGTATGTCTTGCCATGTAACTGAAATCTGGTTATAACAGAAAATTAGGTAGTTAGGTCACTTTTGTGTCCTTGAAGATAGTCTCAGATACCTTATTAATAAAGTATCAAATGTATCAAATGTAAAAAAAGAAAGTGATGATACTGTCTGTGAGGGTGTGGAGTCCTCATGCCCTGTTGGCGGGTGTGGGTTGGTGCACACCCTTCTGGAGAGCATTGGCAGTATGTCAAATGAAGGATGTGTGTCTTTCGACTTAGTCCCACTTGAGTAATATACCTGTAAGAAGATAATTTCACACATACAGACAGGGGCACCTGGGTGGCTCAGTCGGTTAACCGTCTGCCTTCAGCTCAGGTCATGATCCCAGGGTCCTGGGATCGTCAGTGTCAGGGAGCCTGCTTCT